AAAAGGTGGTAATCGGGACCATAGATCATACTAATGAAATTGTTAGTGCCCCCTGCTGGCCCCTAATAACCTACACTCAAGATATAAGAGACCACCGTGGAAGCTGCCTGGCATGAAAGCTGTTGGTTTGTAGATAGAGTAATATATTATAGTATGCATTGAATGTGCACTCATTTTGGTAATGGCACACAAAGGGCATCAATACCCAGCTGACAGGAAACGCTAACGTTCTGGCTAACATTATTTCAGTAACGTTGATAGAACGGATTTTTTTATTTTATTTTGGATGTCAAACAGTTTTTAAAATATTTTAAAAAATTTTGGAGAACCTTCAAATGTAGCATTCATATATTGTTTGCAAAGTGATTACAATGCAATGTGTGCATTATCAAGAAAAAAAAAAACTTTTTAAAACGTTTAAAAAGCTGGACGTTTCTGAACTAATTCACAAAACACATTTTTTGGGTAGCTGGGTAACGACGGGGTTGGCGGTTCGCAACATTAACATCGTCTGACAATCCCATTCATAATTTACTAATACTGTAAATACATGGGAATTCTGTATGACTGGCTTGAATCTGAATTTCCTTAATGGTGTACCCCAAAATTATGTTGTTTTTTTTTCTGCAATTGGGGATTTCAAGTTATTTCTCTAGACACACAATAATTAAAATGCAAAATAAGGCTGGGTATGCTTGTAAACACTCTGCACACCACCAAGCATCAAATGCAAGAAAAATAAAAACTAGCGAGGCAATAAAACAGCTGGTAATTTTACAAGAAAATGCTACATTCCATATTTATTATTCCTGACATCAAGTCACCAAAATGAAAAACCAGGGGCCAGTTGCATAAACTTAGCCATTATGTTAAGACAGTGTCTTAAGAACTATTATGATCAGCAGTTAGTTAGGGGTAATCAAATTAGACCAATGTACATTTTTATGTAATAACTTTTAAAAAGTTATGAACAGTCTTGAAGAAAAACATTGGCAGACTAACTTGTAGCTTGTAGTTGGTCTTAGTAGCTGTTACGGTTGATCCCAACACTTTTTTTAAATACACTGTTTTAATATTTAGACCACTTCTATTGAATGCTACCGGGATATGAAAAGAATTTCAACCAGGACTGCATACCCTACTGGTTCAGTTAATGATTCAATGATTCACTTGTTTCATTCAAGAATGAATTCCAGAATCGTTTGACTGAACGATTCAATGAGTCATTCATAATACATTATATTATTATTACTAATTCAAAAAGAATGCAAATGACTCAATTTTACCTTTGCAAAACGAATGCAAGGGTAATGCACAGTTTCATATCGTTAATACAAAACGCAATTTTAATACGAAATGAATATTTTTTTTAAGTAACACTTAGCATTTTTCAACCTTCATTATATTTCCAACACCCTTGTGATGGTACATCGACTTACAATAGGTTAAATGAAACGTCTGCCATACTGATAAACAGCGAGTGTGTGTGTGCGACAGTAGGATGCGGAAGGCTAAATTATTTACGACAGCGGTAACGTACAATTCCGCTTCCAGCCTGTAGGGGGACCGCAGAGGAAAAGTTCCTTGGTGTTGCTTTAAAATCTGTAAATTAATTCAGCATTACCAGATTTCATGATTATTTAATTAAAGCAATGAATATTTATGGTCTGTATGTACTCACCATGTTACAGGGAAGGCTTGTTAAACATTTTTAAACGTGTTTGTTGATGTTTTATTTTTTTTTAAATAACCACAAAACCCAACATCACAGGATTTTATGAGACCTTTCTCTTCAAACTTGATCCCTTCTGAAAACCCATCCATCTGTCAATGTCTTTGTTTTTTTTTGTACTGCAAGCTGTTTAACACTTCAAATCTAGTCAAATCAAGAGCGAAGTAGGTGTGTGTATGACTAATGCAACACTGATCACCAGGAGCTATTAAGGAGAAGAACAGAAGATTCGTCCAGGGAAAACTACGGGTGATCCACTGAGCAACGCTTTGTTACCGTGAGAGAATCACTCGAACTCTCAATCGATTCTGCTCAGTGCGGGAGAAAAGGTGATGCATATCCAGGCAGCAACAGTACGCTCCGTAGCAGAAGCACGGATTAACATATTCAGATGAGGTGTTCATGACCCTTTATGTTCATTTCACATGTCCACTGGCAAACAGAAACCATCTAATTGGATCCATTTTATCAAGGTTGCTCAATTTCCCACGAGACTGAATTCTAACCTGAGGGCAGTGAGCCATTTGTCGATTGACGGGAAACGCTACAGAAATGTCACACAACAAGCCTCAAACATGCACGCCGCGGCTGCTAGAAATCATCCTGTAAGTGGTGCACACTCACACAAACAACCTTAAACCGTGCTTTTTGTAGAAGAGGAGTCCCTAAAATGCATGAGACTGCAGACATCTGGGGACTTTAATGACCCTGCTCTGCACCTGGCTCTTCAACAGCCATGCTTTGCTCATGGAGATTAAAAGCCTCATTCAGGCGAGCCAGAGAAGAGGCAGTGTTACACAGCGGCGAACTGTAACATGCTGGATTTTACACTTGTAAGGTAGGAAACTGCTCCCAAGTATGATGCCTCTTCCAGCTATTAATCTGTCCCCTCAGGACTTGTCCGTATGTTAACCACTGAGCCGACGTTTGGCTTCTGGTGATCTGTGGTCAGTTTATGGCAACTAATTTGAAATAAGTGAGATAGAAAAGGCTGTTGAAACTAGGCAGGCATCACAGCAGCCTTAGACTCGTATATTAGTTTTCCCAATAAACGATGATTTATTAAGCAATTTTTTTAGAATAAACAAACTGAACAAGCACTGCTGTTTTGTGAGATTATGTTATGCAAATAAAAAAGACTCTGTTAATGAGAACATGCTTCCATTATTTGACAGCCAGTCCATGTTTTACTTCAATTTCGTCTTCATGTTGTTTAAAGCTGCAAAATTTTTACACACTCTTAAAAATGCTGGGTTGTTTCAACCCAAATTTGGGTCAAATATGGACGAATCCAAATGTTGGTTAAAAATTTAATTTAAAAAAAAAGGGGTTCAAATTTTTAAATTACATTTTTAACCCAACATTTGGGTTTGTCCATATTTGTCCCAAATTTGGGTTGAAACAACCCAGCATTTTTTAGAGTGTAGGTTGTCGAAGGTTGGTAGATACTAAAAAGCCAAAAAAAAAAAAAAATTCCTGTACAGAATTTATCTACTAGATATGGCGCATACATGATCTATATTCAACCGTAATGTTCCATATGTCATGTTGTGATAATTAATTTTAAAAAAAAAAAAACATTTTTACAATGAAGAAATGAGTAGAGATTACATTTATATGAATCTACGACCTGGACTCATGTGGAGAAACTGGTGTTTAGGTCAGTGAGTTATTTATTCAGCATTGGTAGACATATATGTTCATAATTAAGTGTAGTCCTAAGGCCTGCTGATGTTAAACCAGGAAGCATATGCCTACTGTAAACCAGTCTAAAATGGTCTTCCGATTACTGTTGAAAGGGAGTTTAGGCACGCCAACCAGTTTGGACAGGGTAGGAGACCAGCAAGACCATCTTAAACCACCAGCAAACCATCTTATTAGACTGTAGATGTTTCAGTTATTTATTAACTGAGGTCTAATGTGTCTTCGTGCCATATGTTTGTTTATGTATTTATTTATTTAAGTACATCAAACAACTGTACGTCATACTGACTCACTGGATCTCTCTCTCTCTCTCTCTCTCTCTCTCTCTCTCTCTCTCTCTCTCTCCTCTCTCTCTCTCTCTCTCTCTCTCTCTCTCTCAGTAAGGCAGTGATATGAGGTCTAGATCGCATTAATTATCCTCAGGATCTCGTCACACTGCCACCACGCGACGGGTTATCAGCAAACAAGACTGCATCTCGCACACTTTACCGGTAGCCCACTGCTGTTTGTCCGTATCTCTCCAACTAGGAAACACATCAAGCCCATTTCAGTACCATTTCACTCCACGTGACGTCATACTAGATGCGCTAAACCATTAGTTGTAATAAGAATAAAAATAACCAAACTGTTGTTTATAAGGAATTCAAATTAATATTGTATGTATTACTTAAGGTGGCGGTCCTATTCCTACAAGCCGTTTAGCATCAGATGAATCAGCTCTGATGCAAATTAAAATGCTAGGCAGGTGGTAATGACCAAGACACATCAGGCAGAAGTGTTGCCCAGGCGTTAGCCTCCACCCTACTAAATTCAATCAAACTGAAAATTCGAAACCAGAAACCAAAGAAAAAAAAAATTTCTGCAGTTTTCTAAAACTTATTCTCTAAAAGTCCTATTTCATTTCCCACAGAGATAGATGAGAGCTCATCCCAAGCCTCCTCCATTTAAATCCATTGAAAGGGTGTTTCAGAGCTATATGCGACCATGTATCATGTAGTCTATATGTAGACGCCGTGCAACAGTTAAACCCCCCCAAATCAAGGCTGATCAATAGGCGTCCAGACGCGTCAATCTAATCGCGAGATTGACAAGTATAAGGTCGAAATCTATCCAGCCAGTTCTTGACTACTTATAGATGGTGCATTTTGTTGGCTGTATATCTACTACACCAAAAAGAATCGTGATTATCTTTCCATTCCCAACCAATCGAGCTGCGTTACCCGAAAATGACACGCGTTCATTTGAGATTCCCCATAATTAGCGGTTTCCCAATAGTGCTTATTTGAAACCACCCTGTATGCGTATCCAAAACAGCTCTACGCCCCATATATTACTTTGTGGTCCATCATTTAACGGCCACAAGCAACTCACGTATCTGCTCGAGCATACTGCAAGAATATTTATTGAGTCCTCGCTCAATGCCTGCATTGAGTAAACGCGCTTTTATTCTCAAGCATTCTGCTGCACGCTTGGCTCTCCTCTCTCTACATCCTCTCCAAGCTCGTTCCCATCCATATACACTGATGCAAAACCTCCGAATAACTCCTCGAGACTGACGACTTACCTCGCACGCATGTGACCATCATAAAAAATATCAGATTCCAAAATGTAACTCCAGTTTTAATCCCCATTATTTTCTTTGCTTGGGAGTCCACCGGACCACATCTAATACATCCTCTCTTGAAAACGGTCAGGAATCCCGTGGATGTGACGCTGTGCTCCTCTGTGTCATCTATGCTCATGTTCACATGAAGGTAGTTGTTCTCTCCCTCAGCCAGAAGCGGAGCGGATCGCGGTGTGGCTCGAAGTGAACGGTGATGCTGGGATCCCACAGCAGCCTTGACGAGGACTCAACCATCTCGCCAAAAGGGGCCAAACTCTGTGCGCTGTGATCTCGCTCACCGACTCGTATTCACTGCTATTCAGTGGCTTAACTGTGTGATCTCACTCTTTCATGATTGCTCAAATAAAACATTTAGAGTCGAGATGCATTTATGAGTGAATGAATAAAACACCGCTGCTGTGATGGGGGGGGGGGGGGGGGGATTCCTAATATGGGCAGATGGTTTTTAAAGATGTTTTAAGCATTTGAATCAGATGAAAATTAACTTAGGCTTGTTTAAGATAACCCCCCAGCAAAGATTAAAAAAGTGGAATCTGTTTTATATTTGAATAGATTCTCATCAAACAATTCATTGGCCACACACATACATGGATGAGTTTACTGCTTAAATGTTTACATCATATGATGGAAAGAAATGCACCATGTAAAGGCTGCTGTAAAAACTATTCCATGTTTAATTCCGTCCAATTTTGGTGTTAATCGAATAATTTGGTTGAGTTCTCAAATAAATTGGGTCTTTGAGAATCTTGTCTCCAACATTATCTTGGTTAACTCTACCAGTCTAACATTAGTAGCCTATTATCATCATAATTATTTCCTACGAAAGGCATCTTTGTAAGATATTTGTCAGTGAATGTGAGATCTAAGACTGGGTGATTGCACTGCAGAAGGACACTCCTGCCATCTACAGGCTAAACATCCAGTCAAGTCTCATTCTTGGAAGTGTGCAGACACTCATTCCCTCTCTCTACTTCCCAAGTGCCTGAAACACAACACCACGCGCACGCACACACACACACACCACACACACACACACACACACACACACACACACACACACACACACACACACCAACACACACACACACACACACACACATTGGATAACTAGATATAGAAGTAAACAAAGAAGTTTCAAGGGATTTTGTTCACTTCAAATTTTGAAGTGAAATGTGTGACAAACTCACACATTACTATAGTATTTTTTTCACCATCACTTTCAATTATTTACAAATTAATCTCATTACTTTGGAATCTACGACCAATGTTTAGCACACATGTTGCTGATTCCAAGATGCTGAAGTCCATTAGTGCATTCAGACAAGCAGACAGGTATGTATGTATGCATGTGTGCGTGCGTGCGTGGGTGGGTGGGTGGATGGATGGATGGATGGATATACTGGGTGGGTGGATGGATGGATGGATGGATGGAATACACTGGATGGGATGGATGGATTACACTGGGTGGATGGGTGGATGGATGGATACACTGGATGGATGGGTGGGTGCGTGGATGGGTGGGGTTGGATGTATGGACTGGATGGATGTGTGGGTGGTGGATGGGTGGGTTGGTGTATGGATGGATGGATGGGATATGGTGGGTGCGTGGGTGGGTTGGTGTATGGATGGATGGATGTGTGGTGGGTGGGTAGATGGATGGATGATGGATGTTTAGGTGGATGGATTGGATGGATGTGTAGGTGGGTAGATAGATAGATAGATAGATAGATAGATAGATAGATAGATAGATAGATAGATAGATAGATAGATAGATAGATAGATAGATAGATAGATAGATAGATAGATAGATAGATAATAGATAGATAGATAGATAGATAGATAGATAGATAGATAGATAGATCTGAACATCATATATAGCCAAAATGCCGAGTTAAGGACAAACTCAACAAAGTCATTCATTCAAGTTTTTGGCCACTTCATGCTCTCAAGCACTAATTAGATAGTGTAACTCTGTCCTCATTAGTCCTGCAGATCCACGCCCATCTGAACAAAGGAAAGGGCAATAAATCATCCAGTCATAGGCATATAAGCATATAACCTTTACTCATCGCAGTCTCTCAGTGACAGGATCAGGAAAGAGAGGGAGATGCTGGAAAATCCACCAGAGAATGAATCATGACTGCACCTCATCAAATCCACATTTCTCATCTGCTTTGAGTAAAAGAGACCTTCTCCTCCCTCCCTCCTTCAACACACCAAATTAAAATACAGTTAAGGCCCTTAAATATCAGATTGGCTCAATGCAACTGGACATTTGGGGAATGATCTATGGACTCTTTAAGCATTTAGTTAGAATTCATAAACAGTGTTAATGTGTGTTGTTTGCCACTAGTCTCCATATGAACTGTACATGAGAGCGGTACATTAGCCTTGGCAATATTAGAAGCGCTATATGATTAGTTACTTTATCGTTTAGCCAACATTTTTAAACCAGACTCAATCAGCATACAGTAATTGCTCTCCCTGGAGCACTAGATAAAAGAAAACAATTTAGACTCATTGTAACTCTTACACTTGGATTTAACCTTCATAGGCAACGTTTGAAATAAAAATAGCCCATTGAAATAAAATAGCTTGATATACTGTAT